CGAGAAATTGGAGTACATAATATTATTATGTTTACGTATTAAAGATAAACTAGAAAATTTCGTTGTAATTTTGTATAAATTTAGGATACAGCCTTAAATAAATAATATTCGAAAAAAATATACAGACATACTAACATAATCTACGAATCGCAATACTAATTAACCACAAAATTTAACTGAATTAAGATATATAAAGGAACATATTCCTTTTGGTAAACAGACGATTACCATTATATTTATTTTTATAAAAGTTCAATGAAGTTTAATAGAAGACAGTTAACAGAAGACGTGGTGAGGTGTGTGGGGGGATAGAAACAGATTTTCTTTCAATGTCTATAAATACTATTAGAGTCTAAGGCTCCTCGAAATTGCTGTGTAATACAAAAATTGCTTCCAACAAATATTAGTGAAAAGCCGGTTTGAAATATTGATTAAATTGAATGATCAATTCAAAAACATTCCGATTTATTTACAAAAAATAAATCAAAATCTGTTCGTTTTTGCAGAATTTGCAGAAATACAAATTCAAAAATAAAACATTATTCAAAATTTTTAAAATGTGTGAATATCTTTTCAAAAAAAAAACTCAATTTATACATACAACAAAATTTATTAATTTTTTTTTATATTTTTAATTATTATATATACATAGTAAAGCTTACTGCGCGATTGTTTTACATATTTTTTATATAATATATACATACATGTTTGTATATAACATTTTAAGATTTAATTTATTCGATTCTGTATTCTCTATATTATTCTGTTTTTTTTATTTTTTCTAAAAATTATAAGAAACTTATAATGTTATTTTTCAAAATTATTAACTATATACACATACAACAAAACTGAAATGAAACTCAGATAAAAAAAAATTTATATAAAATTTTCGAGACTCGAATATCCAAATTTTAATATAGATAATCATTTTAATCTTGTGTCATGTTTACATTCCTAATTTTCTCATTCGGATAACAACACTCAAAAATTTTCTTTTTACTGCATACTTTCAGGCGCTATGCAAAGATGGGAAATGAAAAAAAAAAGTTTTTTGTGTGCTGAAATTCGATTGATTTTTTGTTTTTCTCATATTTTATTCTCTTCAATTTTCCTTCTCTATTTTCTCTATTTTTTTTTTTAATTCTATTTATATATTTATTTTTTTTTTTATTTTTAATTATATTTTATAAAATTTTACATTTTAGTATAGTAAGTTGTGTTACCTTATACATTTTTATAAAAAAAAAAAACAAAAAAATTAAAAATATTTTTTGACATATTTCAAACATGTTGCGTGTTGGTATTCATTTGAACTTGACTCATGTGACATATTATTATGGTGGTGCTATTTTGAGAGTAAAAAACAAAATAAACAGCAAAAAAAATTATAATAATTGTGGAAGGCAATTTTTTTTTTGTCAAATTTTAATTGTTAAAATATTGTGGAAAATTTGAAAAAACAATTTAATTTTAATGAAATCACTAAGAAATTTTAAATTTTGAATAATTTTTTTGTGTTAACATGATCAATAAACTAAACTTTAATGAATAAATGTTGCTCTCTCCTAATACATATATTCTTCAATCTCATATTTTTCGAGTCGTTATTAATATTTGATTTTAAAATTCTTGCAATCACTGCATTAAATTCTTATCAATAGTTTGAATATTTTTTACAGTAATAGAGTAACAACTATTTAATTACCAATATGCAAATCACCAACCTGACAATATACTCAAAATTTTTGAATAAATTATTCTTTTGAATTAACAAAAAAAAAAATACCTTTCACAATAATATTACTGTCACATACTCGTACTCTAATCAAAGTCTTTCAATTAGATTTGAATTTGTAATTAACTTGTAAAATGATTGTTTCATGTGAACATATAGTACAGAGTGACTCAAGAATATAGTGTTAAAAATGGATATCACTGTAGTTGAACTAAAACGATTCGTCATTAATCAATAAAAAGAGTATGTTTATTTTCACTTGTTTTAATAATAACAGTAAGAAAAAACTTTTAAAATACGGAAGAATATCAACACTATATTAAGAGCTATGATCGTCTATCTCGTTATTTTACTTATCAAGTGAGAAGAACACGGCAAGTAAGGTATTGACTAACTACTAAACTATCACGTATTTGTATATCATTTTTGAGTGAGAAAAATTATTCGTAATTGCGTTAATCTCGTTTTTTTCCAAAACGTATACAAAATTTATTCACTTTGTTTTTGAAAATGAAACATTAGAAGTCGATAAATTGAAAAAATATGCAAAAATCCAATTGCAAAAATGAATAATCTTATTGGAAAAGTGAATATCGATTAGAAAAATGCAGAATTCAGATTTGAAATATAGAATAAAAAGTGAGTAAAAAAGCGAGATACACGATTACACTGTAATTAAGTTGACGTGCAATGTTAATTAAGAATATATAACGTTAGTTGACGTATAAGAAAATTTCGATTAATCCAACGTATACCAAAAAAATTTTCCTTTCAGTTACCGTGTTCTATTAATTTCACATTATTTTCATTTCAAATACCTCATATCAGTTGGTGTCTTTTGACAAAAATGAGTTATTTAGCCGGAAATTTTTTATCATATATGAACAGATAGAAAATATCTTAATGGATAAACATCAGAAAACTATTAAATTCCTTATTGTTATACAAAATTTTGAATTATTTTCGAAGAACCCCGTACAATCATATTAATTATAGTGAATAAAAAAATAATATAATGCATATGTCAGATTTAAATATTTATACACCATTATACGAGTATTTTAGATACTTTTTTTAATAATACATTCCTAGCAAGTTCAAATTAATTGTCACCTAATAAACAAATAAAAGAAAATAATAATAAATTTATTTACAATATATTTTTAAAAAAAAAAGAAACCTAGTATAATAGTTAAAACTAGAATATACAATATAAATAACTAATAACTGTACTCAATAAAATAGAAATGAAAGTAATCGCAAAGGTGAAATAGTCAATATACAAGTATAATAGTAATAATAATCAATAAATAACTGTAATAATTAATATTTAATGTTATTGAAATGTATATATAAAAATTTTCAATTATATCAGAATACTTTTATACAATGTTATACAATATGTTATACATAGTGTTGGATTTTATATTATACTATACATATATTTTGTATATTATTAATAATCCTTAGTTTATTTATTCAAAAATAATATTAAATAAAGTGTTAAATTATTAATAATTATTTTACACGTTTATTTTATATTTCATTTTTTTTTTACTTTTTAATTTTTTATTTATTTTATTTACCACTATTCGTTTGTAATATGTTTTTTTTTTTTCTGTTTTTCATTTATATTTATGTAAATATTATATGTACAATTTTATGTTTATGCTTATATATTATTTTTTTTTTTATTAATTATTTATTTATTTATTTACTGTGTTTGTTTGTTATTCATAACTCTAATATAGGCCTCCAATATTTTTTTAATTTTTCTATTTTATTATTTTCTCTTATATATTTTTTTTTGTCTATTTGTTATTTTATTTATAAGGGATTTTTTTATTTTTTTATAACAGTTTTCATTTTTTTTTTGAATAAATATTTAATTTTTTTTTTGTTATATTTTTAATTTTGTTTTATTTTTTTTTTTTTGTATTATATGTGTTATTATCCTTACATAATATCATTGCATTTTATTTAATATTTATTTTATTGTATATGTTCGTATGTATATATACTTACCCACATGTCTATAGATTTTTTTTTTTACACTGTCAAATGAATAATAATATTAAGTGTTTCCTAACAACAATTTGATATTAAGGTAAAGAGTAAATAATGCGAGTATTTTCCTCGAATTAGGCATCATATAGAGCTGCCTGTTTCTCTCGAATTAGAAATTTATATAACTGTTATTCAAAATAATTTTCATTTATTTCGAAAATAATTATTGTTTGATAGCAATTGTTCAACAGAAATATTATCATTGATTTTGTGGGGGAATTACAATACTGTAGTTCCAACGAATTTTGACTTAAGGGAATTTAAAAAAACAAAGTTAAAATAAAACTCATTTTAGAAAAATGCTCAAACTATATCGATTTTCTCTGTTGTGTCAGGATACTAAAATTTCCATACATTCCAATGGTATATTGCCATAGAGAAACTCCATTTTATAAAAATATATACGGACTATGTTGAATACAAACTGTTATATCAAATAATGTCATACTTATTTCTTATGTAGGCATTATAAACTTTCGTTTAAAATTATAAATACAAAAAAAAACAAAAGCGAGGTGGGTGTTAGGAAACACTTTTAATACTATATTTAATAATAACAGTTTATTGATTTATTTCACTTAGTGTGTTTCTTTCATGCGTTTTTATATATACGAGTACATGTACATAAAATATAATAAGTGTGTGTCTTATTAATCACGTAGTGTAATGTTTATTTGTTTTCTGATATAATTTTGACTTTGTTTTTTTTTTTATATTTCAATTTTTAGTTCTTTTAATTCTAGATTTTTATTTTTAATATTTTTTTTAATTATTTTTATAATATCATATAATTTTTATAAGTTTATTTATTTAAATCGCAATGGTATAAAATAAACAAATTTTATTAACTACCATATATTTTGTTTTTTTCATATTATTTTTTTATACAATAAATTTTATATTTAAATATATATGATATTTTTATATATATTATACTTTTAGCTATTTTTACATAGGTACTATATTTTATATTTAATTATGTATAAATAATATTTAAATTATATTTATTATAATTTTACGTACTTCTATATTTATATAAGGTTTATTAATTTTCAATAATAATGTTTATTTACATGAAATTAAATGTTCTCAACATTGTTCTATATCTGTAATAATTTATATATATATATGTATTTTTAAATATGAATTATTTATATATGAATTATCTATGTTTTATGCTATTTTTCATAATATTATGCAATTACATAAATGATATTGTTTGTTTTTTTTTTGTTGTTTTTCTATTATAATGTAAGTGTATTTTATGAATAAATTCTTTATTTACTAGGATAACAACTATTTTTTCTTTTTTTTTATAATATTGTTATTTATTTTTTAATTTAAATTTTGTTTTAGATATAAATATTATGTATGTATACTAATATTTCCCACCCCTAAATATAATTCAATATTAAATTCAAAAAGGAAACTCGAAAAAAATAAAAGAAAAGTTCACTGTTTGAATTTACAAAACACTCGTAAATTTCACGATTGGAAAAATGCTCCTTCTCCATAAAATTTAAATAATCTTAATATTTTAATTTTAAAATCTCATTCCAAATAACTTTTTGTCTTAAAGTTTTCAAGAAATATTTAGAAAAAAAAAATTGATTATTTTGATCTTAATTACACGATTCGGTACGATTGCTATGTCCTTCTTCATAGTAGACTTCAATTTTTACTCTGTCACATTCACTCAATATCTTGTTTTTCCCCCGGTTTTTCTCAAACTGTTTTCAAAAGTATAGTACTTTAGTATCACTAATTAAATTCTCAGTGAGTACAAATTGCAATAGCAAATAAACCACTAAATTAATCAGCTAAGTTTTAAATAACGCACTAAAATGAATAACTTCTCGATAAGTTTTAATAAATCTGTTTGACATCTGTACAAACAGATATATTCGTCATATTATTTTTATAATTTACCAAAATTTTATGACTATTACAATAACGGAGAAATAAAAACTTTTTTTTATAAAACGTGAATTTTCTAAGTTTAAGCTGATGACGCGGAGTATATGTATGTATAAAGAAATGATTATTTTCATTCAAATTTCAGAAAGATTAAAAAAAAATTCTTCCAAATCATCTTTTACTAAGAATATAGAAAAGTAACATAGTTATACAATTAAAACTATAATATGAAACTATTTTAAAACTCAATTCAAAATACATAAATCGAAGATGACTCTGTAGCTTCATTATTGCCTGAAGGTTCTCATTCATCTCCCATATTTTAACTTTTATACTGCATCTGTACATGGGATGATTATATTAAGTTATGAATAATATGAAGTGATTAAAATATGATTAGATTAATATGAATTGAATATGATATGATGAATATGACTGATATAGTGGCTAATAAAATTCTCGATTTTTTTTTGTGATATATTGCTTTACAATTAGGGGTGCGATATAAATTATAATTTACGCATAAATCATAATAGACATAATATGTTTGCATAACTTTGTTTATAGGGTAAAATATGTTCAGGATAATGAATATTAATTTTATTTTTTAATAATTTCCTATTGTGATTTTCTTTGGTTTATCTAATAAGAAATGTCCTTAATCATTTCTTATTTGTCCTTCTCCTCTTATTTACTTTTCAATGTGCAATAAAATATTCTTATTATATTATGCAGATATAGTTTAAGTACACATACATACTATAATTTTAATATATATATATATATATATATCCAAAATTTAAATACCATTAATAATCCTTTAATTGTATATTATGCATTATAATTTCTTTAATTTTCATAACTAAATTTTTAGTATCTAAATACATTTTCTATATAAATTTTTTTTATAATTTTTTTCTAAATTTTTTATTAAAAAAATTTTTTTTTGTAATTTGTTTTAATAATTATTCTTTAATTTTGTAAGAATATTTTTAAAGGATTTTTGTTCTTAGACCACGCTCAATCTATGTTGTTATTATAACCTTGAATATTGTAGCAAATGATTTTCTGCATACAAACTTAAAATTTTGATTTTGATATTGACGTCATTACTTAACGAGTATTGTGTAGATTTGTAGATTTTCCCAATTTCAATTCACTTTCATACACTATTGTTTAATTTATATTCTAACGAAAATTATTCAGATTTCCAGGAGTCGAAAGTTGCTGAATGGCTGACCTTAATTTAGTTTTGTATTTTGTAATCCCCATTTGTAATATTAAGATATCCGGGGTAGTGTGTAGCGTTGTGAAAGATACAATTTTCTTGAAAGTTGACAATAATTTTACTACACTTTTTTTCTTTTAGCCATTTTTGTTCAATTGTAATGGAAACTATTATAAATTAATTGTATTCTTCTGTTTCTGTCACAGCGTTATCAATAATATAGAGCACGCCACATTAAATTTCATTAATCTTAGCAACATTAGTCGAATTTTTGGAATACATAGTAAGCAAGATCTAAGTTTCGTTTACTCATTTTTTTTTAATGAATAGTTTTTATATTTATTATAGTTCTTTAATAATAATTTTAACTAAATTTTATTTTTCTAAATAAATAATTTTTATTTTAATTTTAATTAAATATTATAATTTTTTTTTTATTATAGTGAATGCAATTTAGATCATCTGCATATTGTACCTTCATCATCTGAACAATGACCTTTCGGTGATGCTAAAAATAATTTACCATTTGAACAGGCGCATAATTGTGTTACTTTATCAAAATTTTCATGAAAACTAGTACCACTTGTTAATAATTTGACTGGTTTTAAATTTGGTAAAAATATTTTCGATGATTCAAGTCGTATCTGTATTCAAAAAAAAAAGTACAAATTCAATTAAGGAGTGCAGGTAGATTTAAATTGCTAGGGAAAATATTTAAAGGACGAAATCAAAGAATAGAAAAAAGGATGTTTATTTAGTTAGAAATTATATAATTGTGAACGAGAAATTTGAGTAGTACAGTTAAAGCATTTAAGTCAAAGTAATTTAACATTTAAGTAATATTTTTTGTGACTTACACTACCATCAATTGAACTTAGCTTTACATCATCTAATGCATTTATATCAATTCCTCCAGCACGTGATTGTAAATTAATATCCTTGGCAGCAGTCATTTCTAATTGACGTGTCGGTGATTCTAGTCTAAAAATAGTAGAATAAAAAAAAAATTTTTAATAAAATTAATTGGGTAATTTGCTTATCGAATTTTAAATTGAATTTAAAATTTTAATCCTTCTATAACTACAAAATTTCGCTACATATAATCAAGAAATTTCGTATTGATATAGGTGAACTAAATATTTGCTTACAAGAAATTTTATCAAGGAAGTTGTAAGGAACTAAAAATTTAGTCATAAATTTGTTAAAACCAGTAGCTTCCATTGATTTTTTATTTTTATATCTGTTCCTACAATTTTACAATTTAGAAGCAAAAATTCATATAGTACGGCCCACGAAAACTATTTTTAAACATGAACGAATCCGCCATGCGAAATGGACAGACAGTCTAAGAATGAAACTGTCTTCTATATAATCTATGCGAATGTCGTGTGCACCCTGATTGGATTATCAAATTAATACGGTTTTGTACCCGATATAACCTGAGATATTCATTTAATTCAATTGTAAACTCTAAAACTTAATCTAATTACTATCCTCTGCCATTTCTCGCATAAGACATTCAACTTCCTGTTCTTCAACTTTCTACAAAAATTACTCAAATGGTATGCAAACTCTAATGATTTAAGCTATCAATTAAAATTTTTACCTTTATAAAAAAAATTATTAAAAAAATCTTAATAAACACACACTTATATACATAAATAATTACCTCAATTCTCTGCTTGGTTCAGCACGTACATGTGGTGTTTGAACTGATTCACGAAATGTAACACCACCTTCACCATCGATACGTAAATGATGGGCACCAATTACAACTTCATTACGATTAACAGAAAATAAATTTTTACCAGTTGTATCATTTATCCGAAAACCATTTGCAAGACATTCAAGTTTATCGTGTCCCAAAAATAAATGATTTTCTAATATACCATTTGAGTCACGTGTATTTATTGAAAAATTACGTGATGATTCTGTAAAATAATATAGAAAATACAAAAGTTATATATAAGTATGGAAAATATGAGGAAAACATCATAAATGAGATTTTATATATATAGAATATAATATTGATTTAGGTCTGAGAGACGATACACGTACACATCATAAATTACTAGTAATACACATACACATATACATACAAATAAAATAACTGTTCTATAAATTTGATATTTCAAATTTTGACAACTCATTTTCTATATAGTATATATAGTTTTTTAAGGACAAGTGAGAATAAAATCAAGGCAATGAGAGAGGGGGAAAGGCAATTTTAAGTTTGACAAAAAACCAAATTTGTTATTATATAAAAATTTTGGGAAATACCATTAAAGTTCAGAAAACATATATAGGATATCCTTTTTATGGTATATTAAGAGAAACTTACAAAAATTAAAATATTTTAGTCCTTTTTAATATTTCTCCATTGTTTTTCTTTGTTTTTGTTTTTCAACAAAAATAGAAGTCAAATTACTATATATAGAAATCCTTTTTTTTTTGTTTTCTTCCAAATTGCTATTCTTAACATCCTATTACACACATGAATTTATTATATTTTATTACACACACAAACAAATGTGTACATTAATATAAAATTAGGCATTCTGTGCCATTCCGGAAGGATGTTACCCATAAACTTAAATGTTTTATATGAAATTACAGGTGATAAAAAACAATATTTTTTTTAATATAATAACAAAAATTCATTAAAAGCTATTTTCTTCCATATTCTCATTCCGAAATTAAAATTAACTATAAAAGGAGAATGGAGGCATCCTATCAAAAGAAGAATGGGAAAAATGTGAAAAATTTATCCAAAAAAAAAAAAACAATAAATAAAAAGTTCAATAAGTTAAAATATATAAGGATCCTAAAATTAATTTAACAAATTTTTAGGGTTATTTTATCATTATTATTGCACAAACAGTTTACAAACTATGTTTGTCTGTACGTATTCGTAGCCATATGAATAATTTTGAATACATAATATGAATGTAATGCGGATAATGCTATAAAAAATTTAATATTATAATTCAACGTTATAATTACTCACATAGAGACAAATAATTCATAATTATTTATACAAGGTGTACACGATTTGAAGTGTATAACAACATCGCAATTAAAACTATCGGACAATTTTATCATATTGAACTCAATAATGCGAAAATTTAGAGAGAACCTACAAATTTGTTAAATTTTGCACTAGATACCATTCTATACTATGATACCTTTCCAGAATATGTGATTATATAATTTGTTTACACTCTGGAAAATCATTGTAAATAGACTTATTTATATGAACCATGAAGATAATTGTTGCTCCAACAGATATGTTAATAAAGAAAATTGTCGAATTTGAAATGAGACTGATTCATAAGAGATTCAACTGTATTTGTAAGGAACAAGGTATACGTTATACTGAATGGAAATTATAGCATATCGTAGCGCAGCTTAATTATGATTCTATTTTAATATATGGACTACATAGACCTAAAAGAAATCAATAGAGTAGCACTACCTATAAGAAAGCATCTGTAAGTAATACGGATAGTTGATTTCGAGAAATGAATCAATTAATTTAACTTCCGTGATCGTGTTGCGAATAATACAGTGACACTCGATTATTTTCGCTCAATTATAAGCAATTTACCCTAATTAATCGGAAATGGCCTGTGTTATCTCTAAAATGAATCAACATTTTAACTTCCCAATGTTTTATAAATTATATATATAATTATATATAATTATATATTTCATATCGTGTTCATAATCACAAATACGGTCAATTTTTTTTTACGGTAAGCCACCTGTATCCGTTATACACAGTACATACGGCGTATAAAAAAATTTATTTTAAATTTTTAAATTTTTAAAACTCACCTAAAGTAATTGGTTGTCCATGTTTTGAGCGTATCACGGATGCTCGTAATAAATCCATAATTAATGCTTGCCCTGATAATTGGATACCACCAGGAACAATTTTTAATTGGCCCATACCTTCCTATATAAAATATATTAAAAAAAAATTATATTATAAATTTGAATGAAAACAAAATACTAAAGGATATAAAAAATTGTTATTAAAACAAACCGAGAACAACGAATTAAAAGAGAAGAGAAGAAAAGTGCCGAAATAAAGGTCCAATATATTCAAACTTTACCATAAGGTTACGTTTCTCTTCTTTTTATGTTCCCAGTGTTAATTAGATTTTAATTATGTTATTACAAGCATTATTATTTTTATTTTTTTATTTGTTCATTATGGTATTTAAAGGACGATATTCAATAATTGATATTTAATAAATTGAATAATAAAGTTCTAATAAATTGATAACTAATATATAGATAATTAATATTGAAATTTATGAGGCGACCGGTAAAATGGTATTGTATTTTTCATATAAAGAAGGATCCTAAAAAAAAAGGATATTAAAAAGTTTTTTTATGAGAAACATTTTGAAAAAAGACACTAAATTTTTTTATTGTTGCAGGTATATAATGTCGGGATATAACATTATTCTTTAAGGGAATTGACAATAAAATTATTTATATTCTAGGGTATTTCTATAAAAAATTTTGTAATTTGTAGGAGCTATAAAAAATTTACTATAAATTAAGGGTTTATATGGCAAAAATTTTATAATATGCTTTCACTTAAGTAATTAAGGATAACAGAATATAAAAATGATTTTAATTTCTTTAATGTAAATTATTTAATTGTAGACGTACCAATGTAAGACTTGTGAACACAAGTGCTTATAGAACATGAAGCAAACTTATTTATCTGTTAAGCGGTAGTATAAAATAATTTTTAAAATGAACTAAAAGCAATGAAAATTTTTATTACTGTAGCACGAACTGCATTAAAATTATATTTCAAGTTTTATAGAATTATAAAAAGTATTACCCTTATTTTCTTAAGGACTTGTTGAAACTTTGAATAAGAAAATATCTAGTCACACTAATAGAACAGCCAAAACGGAAAACATCACACATGCAAGACGGAAGACCAGGATCATATGATTGTAATCGAAATTGGAGTACAGCACTTTATTTACCGAATGGCGGGTCAGTTGGAAGAACGCTTTTTCTCTTTAAGTTTCTTAAAACCTCTTTAAAGAATTAAATTTGAAATTTGGTTCGTTTACACGATAATGGAATCAAATGACTAAAAATGACCTTATTAGCATTATCCATCATCAAGATCTTATGGTATGCTCGAAATTATAAATTAAATTTCTTAAGAATAATAAATTTTAAATTAAATAATTTAATTTTGTACTTACCGATGAAAATTCCATAACTTTTAATATCCACAATGTTAATATTAAATTGATAATTATGAGTAACATTAAAATTAATAATAGTATATAAAGGCATTTTTTCCTCCATCCATATAAACCTAAATGAAATCCGATTCCATTATCAGGGAGTCCATTGAATACCGAATGATTTTTTTTATTATTATTATGTAATATACCTGATGTTGTACCTCCAACATTATTACTACCTTGACCACCACCAGCACTATTACTTCCACCTATACCAATTCCACCACTAATACTACCTGTTGGTTTCTTAGATTTTCTTTTTAATGATGATGAATTTGTTTGTAATTGCTGTTGTTGCTTCTGTTGTTGTTGCTGTTGTTGTTGTTGACCCAAAATACCTTGAGAATTTTCCGATGTTGTTATATTCGATCCGATCATCGTATCATTCCGTAAATTTCCTATGCTACCACCACTTTGATTAATATGTGTTATAATATTATTTTTTATACTACAATTTGGTGATATTGAATTTGATATTATTGTATTGTTATTATTATTATTATTACTATTATTTTTCTTATTATGATTTTTATTTATGGAATGATGGTTATGATTACTGTTATTATTATTATTACTACTAATATTATTATTATTATTTTGATAATTTGAATTTGTATAATTATTATTGATAACGACAGCTGCTGATGTTGATGGTGATTCAGGTGAGTTCATATCACTGACAACGTATGCTATTGATGTTGGTGTAGCTGATGTTGTAGTTGAACTTGTTTTTGGTAATGATGTTTTTAATTTTGATGTATGATCACGATTATGTTGTTGTTGTTGTTGTTGATGTTGTTTATGAGGATTTGTTATGATAGTTGAATTATAAGAATCCAATGTTTGAGTATTATAGGTGGTGTAATGATGATCCTCTTCACTGTTATTATGATGATGATGGTGTATTGTAGAATTTTTCTGAAGTTGGTTGGATTTGCTAAGTTGTTTTGTTTTTTTTTTTTTTTTTTTTGTAATTTTTCGGTTTAATATGGTTTACAATAGGATATGGATGTGATAATAGGTTGCAAATTAATAGTGCATTGAATGAACGGGTTAGTAATGGTATATGTTAATGGAATTTTCAAAGAAAACCAAAATAAAAATATTTTTTTTTAAATATGGCAGGTTGGATATACAAAGTAGAGGAAGAGAAGAAAAAAATTTAAAAGGAAAATCTAAATGAGTGCGATTTAAATGCAATTTTTAAATGAATTAAAAAAAATATAAATTATTTACAAAAATGTTTTATATATACAGTATGTATGTATTGATTTATATAATAATGGTAAGGTCTTTGTTGAGAAGTCAATATTTCAATTTTCGAAAAACGGAGCAATACCGTTATTAATTTTATCATTAATTCTTTGTACCGAAAGTGTTGAACTTTTAAATTCTTGCAGATTTTTCTAGTCGATTGATAGGATAGGAGTTCTATCAAATATATTTTTAAAACAGAAATATTACCACGATTTATATGTTTTTTATGGAGCTCTCGAGACATATGGTTATGTCAATATCCCTCCAAATATGGTTATGTCCGCGAAATTTCCAGTTAAAATTAGTTGGGGTTAAAACATTCATCCAACTCGGATGAAAAAAGGGATTGAATTTTTTAGTTAATTCATCACCAACTAAACATGCAAAAACCAACATCTCTCTAGAGAGTCTTGGAGATTCGGAACCACACATATTTTTAATACCTGGATTCAGTGAGATTCAATGATAAACGTATGCACTCTTCCAATTTTAAAAAAAAGTTAGAATGCACATCTCAAGCCACCACATGTAATCATAAAATTGAAGAATTCTTCAACGAAATCTGACTTAAGGTGCAAGAAAATGTCTCTAATCAATAGTTACGAGCGTAATTTTGGGAATCTCTGAACTAAAATTTAGAATATGAAAAATTTTTCGTTTCGATTAACTTGATAATGAACTCTCTTACAAGACTAATGTGAAAAATTTCTTTGATTAATAGAAGATAAAAATTGTTTGATGAACTAACTCCCGGAATACACATTGCTATAAATATATAGTATATACATGGCTATGAATATATTTATGTTTTAATATTTTTTATTTAAAATAAGCTTGGTCGACATTATAATTTTCTCTAGTTTTTCAAACAATAATTGACCGTAAGTATTTACTTTAGAAACCTACAAAATCACTTCAAACAACTGTTTAGAACTTTAAGTCTCCCAACAATCTAATGAAATCCATGTTGATAAACACAGGATATCACAGAAATCACATTATTTTGTATTATCTAATAGAAAAATTCTCTAGAAAAATTTTTAAACTGTCTAATAAAATTATGATAATCTACAAAAATTTTATGATTTTTCTACTATGGTTTTTAATGTTTCTATTTTAAATGGGGCAAATTTTGAAATTTAGGAAATTTAATTTAACTACACATATAAACTATGATTTTATCACCAAAACAAATAATAAAAGAAAAAATTATTTAAAACTTACCTCAATAGAACTTCTTGACTACTGCTTGTTGCTTCATTGCAATCATCAAAATTATTTTCACCACAGCTTTCCTAAAAAAAAAAAGGAAATAACCAAATAAGCAAAACTGAAAACACTTTTTGTAAAAAAATTTTTTATCAAATTCTGAATTTCACTTTACAATTTGAACAACAATAAACAAATAAAATAAAATTTTGCTTTCAATTTTCCGAAACCTTCATTTTTTTTTTGAAATCAATACTTTTAATTTTTCATCTTAAAACTTCAAGTTTTTGTTTTTCCAAAATTAAAGTGTCATAATTTTTTTCTTTTACAATGTAACACGCACTGACGTCAAAGTGATTACCCTGACTATTGATTTACCTTCACATTTCATATACACACACACACACATAATTGTATGTAAAATTAAAAACAAAGAAAATTACCGAAAATAAATTGAAATTTCATTTGAACCAAAAGATAAAAAACTCTAAAATTTCTTTACAATTTTCAATATTAGCAGAACCGTCGCCCTTTAATATGAAATTCACCGCGAATAGCGTTTATTAAAATTTCTTTCATGCCCAATCTATCTGAATTTTTGAATATTTTATGTAAAATACTTTTTTCACGTTTGATGACACAATTCAAACTGACAAAGATAATTTTTCAGTGTTTTCATTTTTTTTTTGTTTTTGGTTATTATGGAAATTCAAAAAAACAAAAAATTATAGAAAATGAAACAGAAAGAAAAGTTCACTTAACGAGTTCGCGACAACAACATACGCCCACATAATATTTTATTAGAATCACTTTGCTCTATCCGAATTTATATACAAATTAATATGTACAAGTGATTCTATAATAATATGTGAATAGGAAACATAAATGTTAATCTTTTACAATATTTTCAACCAAAGAGAATCTTTAAGATTTTTAATATAGCAAATAATATTTTAAATTTACTTAAGCAACTTAAATGTTTAGCACAATATTATGTAAATTGTAATGTAAAACGCGTAAAGTTTATGTTATAATAAATTTATTAAGATTTTTTTTTATGATTTAAAACTAAGGTCATTACATTTCAAAGATGATGACAATCTCATAATAACATAGCCTTATATTTTAACAACATTTTGACATTTCAATAGAATTCAAATAGGTTCTATTGTGAATGAAACCAATTACCATGTTAGCTAGTATCAATAACTATTTAAAAATCATTTCTCTCAAAAAAATTTAGAAAGCGAATAGTTTTCTGTAAAAGATCATCTCATTTATTAAGAGCTCTATAAGATTCCAGAAACAATTTAATTTGATATTGCATGCTTCGAAATGCTATTTAAATTTTTACTTAAATATAGCCAAAAAATTTCTTATACCTAATGTTGACTAATTTACTAAAGCTACTTTTTCCAAATTTTTTCACGTTTTTCTTTTACTTAATTTTTTTTTTTTGGACTTATTTTCACATTCTTATTTTTATTATTATCTGTTGAGTGAGAAAACTCATAAATCATTAAAATAGTTGTAAAAATGACAAAATTTTTCTGTTAGCTTGTTTTAGTGTCAGAATGAAGGAATAAAAGTTTTTGCTCAAATTTTTAAAAATGAAATTTGTGACCTATCTTAAATTTTTAATATTCACCTTAAACTTATATATGATTCCGCTGGAAATCAAAAAAAATGGAAATTTATTTTGCGAAGCAATGCGTTTCTGAATTGGTAAACTAACGCATAAGCTCACATAGCTATTGGCTGTAGTTTGAGATAAAATAAAAATTGTGAATTTCTGGTAACACATAAGTAGTTGACGGATTTTAATTAATATTTGTCCAATTTCTTTTATAGCAACAGAAAATTAAATTCTTAACTAGACTAGAGTCTACAGTTCATTTAAAAAAAAAAGATACTTTAACTGTTGACTCAAAATTATTTCCAATTAACATTAGATTTTCAAACGACTAATGCAACAAAGTTATTTTTTTAATAATTAATTGTTAAGTTCAAAGATTGTCACTCTAAATCACTGATATCAGCTCTTTTTAAACGTTCAGTAACGCCAACATGCTATGTTGCCTCATTTATTAAACTTTTTTTTCCAACTTATTACTTTTGAGATCAGATATCTTGTTGAATTTTTGGAGTTCCTTTAAACAAGAAGTCGAACGACTATTTTTTTTAAATTTTCTTGTTCATTTGGAATTGTAAAAATTTTTCTGTATCAGGTCTCGTGCCAGGTCTCTTAAATTTCATTGTTACAACAACTTAAAATTTAATTTTAAACCAAAATGTAATAGGCTTTATGGAGTCGTAAGTGTGTTATCTAAGGTGATACATAGGACAAGAACAATTAATATACACTCTTATATTGGTGGATCAAAAAATAATTCATCAAGGGAGACAAACAACTTCCATTTTTAGCTCTTTTACTGCCGTTATTAAAAATTTTTTCGATCTTTTTAAAATCTCGCGTTCTGCTAGAAAAAATTTAATATAGCAAATATCTGCCCGAAATTAAACACTTTTCATATTATGGACTTTATGATCATTAAGAAATACGATTTATTTTAAAAGTAAAATTCAATTATAATTTTTCTCTTTATTTTTTTCTTTCATGATTTTTAAGAAAATTATTATTATTGCCATACACTTGGCTTAATTAAAAAAATAATTATTTTTAAAGTAATTATAAGTAATAAATTTTTTTTTGTATTTCCCATAAGTGTCTTCAGTTTTTCAATCATTTTATAATTTTTAAATTAAGAAATATTCTTGGACATGTGAAGATCTTTTGGCAAAATTTTTAATGAAAATTTTTAAATAAAAATATTAAAATAATGTTTTTAATAAAATATTCGCCAGTATTTTTTAAATTATTGTTATGATAAATTATTAGTAGAAAGGAAATATTTTATAATTGATATATGAACATTAATAGTCTCAAGAACTAAGTGATTTAGAAGGACAATACTCAAGAATTTCGCGGAAGATCGTTTTTAATTTTTCCGATAAATAAATTTATTATGATTTCTTCGATTTTCGCTCACGTATATATCTCAAATTCTTATCTGTTTTTTGTAATTTTTTGTAATAATAATGTTTTGTTCCTCATACAGTGAGGATATAAATCTTAAGTTTTGAACCAGTAAATTGACCGCCAAAACTTTCATTCAAACCAATATCCGGCATTGTGGTTCGTAATGCTTCGGCCGAAATATATGAAAAACTGCTCATAATCACACTCTGAAAAATGACCACCTGAAACGTTACCGAAATTGTCATTGACACCAAAACATAAATAAAAAGTATAAACAGTAATGATTCATTAAACAATTCAAATAAAAATTAGATGCACATTTGCAAAAGTTTAAAAAATCACCCATTACTGTGTCTTTCTTTTTAAGTGTAAATGCTTTTTCCAAATTTTTTGTAGAAATATGCTCATGTTTGTTTCTAATATACAATCGAATCAAACATTAATTTAAAATTTCAAAATTTTATACAACTAGCAATAATAAGCATGTTCATTTAGAAAACTCCGAAAATAAAAATCTTTATGAAAATTTATTATCTCCTGTAGGAGTATATAATTAGATGAAAATATTCGTGTTCAAAATAAAAATACTGATGTTTTAGTAATAAATTTTAAACAAAAACGACATCTAAGGGATTTACGTAGAGTTACAATAATAGAGGTAATTGGATTTGTCATATATTTTATATAAGGCAGGGATTGATATTAAGAATATTTCTACATAGTGGATATTATCAATGTATTTAATTTTGCTCGAAAAAAAATTCCCTGTAGTGCACAATTCTTATACATAATTGCCTTTTATTAATTAAGCATTTACTGCTAAAGAGGGAACACACTTAAGAGAATAAATCCCCTCTAAGTTTATTGAATTTATAATAGTGAATTGAAGAAGAATTCATTTTAAATAAATTGAAAAATTTAAAATGATTCATTCATACAAAAATTCTCATTCATAGTAAAAAATTCGATGAAAATACTAAATTTTGTAGAGAAAAAATTACAATAATATTGTTAATGATTTATTTATTTATTCTTATCCCCCCATATGTAGTGGATACTGAGAAGACCTAAGAAGATCGATTACAATTCAAAATAAACAATTTTTTTCCGTTTTAATTAAAAAATCAATTAAAACCCGTAAAAAAATTTTCAAAATATTTTCTCGAAAATGTTTGTGTTTCTAGACAATCTTGTTTATTTTTTTCTTGTTTTTCAAAAAACAAAATATTACTCACGGTCTCTACTGGAAATTTTCTATGACACCTTTATATTTGGGAAAATAATTCAATCCTTTTAATATTTCAAAGTAAAAAGTTTAAGGCACTGACACTAACTTTAACATCCTTCGTATTAACAAAAATTTTGACGTGTCTTGACCTAGTAATGAGTAAACAAACAATAATTTTTATTTAATGTTCAAGAAAGTATAGACATAATTATGCATATTGTGTGGATAATAGAAAATGACCTCTTCAAATACGTTGACTCTTAAGAAATTAAGAACATCATGGACGGAACTATCTAAAATTTCGTCCTATTGTGTAGCAGCTTTTTTAGAAAATTGGGTAACACACAATGATTGCGTTTAAACAGGCTATTTCAGTTTAAGGTCGGAATGTGTTGAAGCTATTTCAAACGTCTTATATTTTACTTTGTAAGCCAATTTTGACAACTAATGAAAACCACATCTAATCTAAACAAAATACGTTTCTAGTCATATATTTAAAATATACGCTTATTATAAAAAGCAACAAAATGTTTTCCATACCAAAAACATATGTAAAGTAAATTGTTTAAATCATTTTATAATGGGGCAAATAAAGTTCATAATTTTCATGAATTCTAAAAAAAAAATTTCGAAAAATGATTTTATTATGATCTTTATATAAACATAATTGGTAATCTAAAATGCAACATCATTTTTCATAAATTCAATGGAGTAAGAGAGTAGGTAATTAAATTTATTGTAGTGCGGCACTTTTAACCACATAAACAAACAATATAATTGATGTGGTCTCACATCATGTCTCTAATAAAAAAATATTA